GTGCCTTCACCGCTGTTGCCGCTGTTACTATTCAGAATATATTTATCTTCCTTAACTGCCAGCTTCCATAATGCCAGGAATAGAAGGGTCATTATGACTGAATTAGACTAGGAGGAAGTGGGAACTTCAATTTCATGATTGCAAACTAACGCGAACGGGTAAGACAAAGAAGAAAAAACGATTAAAAGGAGCTTGCAGAAGTACCAGGGTCCTGATTGTTCAAGCTGTTATACTTATATAGAAGCTCGTAAATGATTCTTTTGAATTGAGGTTGAAACTGAGGTTTTGATTAGGGCGATTTTGTTCTTTCGATTTGTTGGTAGTGTTTACTTCTTTCTCGTTCACTCGTACAAATAAGAATTAGCTTTCTTTTGTTTACTCTTGCTTTAATGCCATGCTTGTTTGAATGTCATGACAGGAGTAAGGAATATACTGTTTTTCTTTTTTCTTTTTATAAGATGTTTGTTGAATTCTTTAACTAAACTTCAATGGTGCCAGTGAAGTAGTCCTTGTCTCCTTCAGGCTGGTTCTGCTCTCTTTGATGGTTTCATTCTATCCGTACCATGATGGGACCTTGTATATTTTGGACTCATGTATATTCAATTGTTTTAAAAGATTTTCCGTGTGCTTTGAGGGTCCTAAGCGAGCTATAACCTTACATACCAATGTCCAGATATGGGTTGGACAGGCCATTATGTGCACCCCAAAGTGTTGGACCCCTCACAACCTTAGTGAAAACTGTGGAATAACACTTCAAAAGAAACGACATAACCCTACCATTTCTTGTCATGTAAGAAACATGTATTTAACTTTTTCTTGATTTGCAGCAGACATGATTCCTCACAAATTGAAGGAAAAATACCAACAGATTGAACTTTGCTCATGGGACGTTTAAATTTTTCTTAGAGAAGTTACATGTTTATGAAAGACCTTAAACTTCTTTTAGGCGTTAATTTTTCACTTCCATTCACTTGTCCTTGAAGATCATACTTCTTATGCTATAAATAAGCTATCAGAAACTTCACTCTTTTGATTGAAACTAAGCTACATTCTTTATTTATGTGCCATAAAGACATTTTGAAAATGTTTATTCAATAAATAAGCTATCAGAAAGTTCACTCTTTTAATGTCTACGATATTGACAGCTGGACTGTAATTGTTAGACCACCTTGAAAATGTTTTGGTGTTATATGTGTCCCATTGCAACTATCTGACGTGTTAAAAGTGAAATTTCTGCAATAATTCCCTTTAGCACCATTTTCTTCTGGTTCCAAGTTAATAATTTTCATTCTTTAATGTTATTAATTGATTAGTCCAACTGAGGATTCCGGATGGAAGAACTAAATAAACACATGTGAACTGAGGAGTGCTTTGAATGCCCAGATCAGTGATATAGAGCTTCGCATACTTGAGGAAAGTGGCATGAGCCACTATTTTGAACTTTTCCGAAATCAACCATTGCGGAGGCCGATGTTTTCTATGTGATGAACGGTACTCGGAAAACATCAGTGGAGCGATTTTTCTCATGGATTGGAGGGTTTCGGCCTTCAGAACTTCTTAAGGTGAATTATTATTTAGTTTAATTAACTGTACATCATTACATTCCTGTTATAGGTCTTAGAGGGGAACAGAACCTATAGCAGAGTATCTAACTGCAAATTCTTTCTGCCAGATGGCATTGATGAAAATTCAATGACCATCTATAGATGGATGTATGTGCAAACAATTCCTATGGACATATGCCTACATCTCGTCTGGATTTTGGGTGTTTTCTTTCCCCTTTTTTTTAAAAAAGATCTGAAGCTTTTTCTTTAATCATTATTTTTGGATCTCAGTAGCTGTGAAGACAATGCTTGCTTAGCAAATCTATTCTCTTTGTTTTTTCTCTGTTTTCTTTTTCCTGCAGTTGATAGGTTTTCCCTTTTCTCTGTCCTTAATCCTTTGCAATTGCTCTCTTCTAGGGGTTTCCAGGATTTGTGTATCGAAAACTAAATATTTAGTTTCTTGGATCACTAAACTTGGCCAATTGTTACCTTTATCAATGTTGGTTCTGTTTGGTCTTCTCACCCACATGATTACATCACAATTGAGGCCATTGGTTAATCATCGTTGCTTTAATCTATGTTAAACTCGGATACGAGTATTGAGTACAAGAATATGTCCGACGAGTACGTTCAGTTTTGTTTTTAAAAAAAATCACGTATTTGGAGGATCTTATCTTATATCCTTGTTCATATAAGTGGCAAATATAGGTCTTGGATTGGGGTACTTGAAAGGGTTGAAGCAACACATGCTTTAATGAACTAACTATAATCCCATTTTACTTGAAGAGCATAGTTTCTTGTATTTTTCATTGGAATTCTGGTCCAAGCCTATTCCCAATTGTAGAATCATTTTTTTGTGATTATATTTTGATTACATGTGTTAACGCCTCAGATAGATCCCTTGACAGACCAGCAAATTTTGGAAGTTTTTAACCTGAAGCAATCATGTCATCAAGCTGAAGATGCCCTCTTGCAAGGCATGGGGAAACTCCAGGAAACAGTGCAACTTTAGCATCTGGTCAAATGGGTCAAGGTACTTATTATGTTCCTCGGGTGGCTATGGCAATGGAGAAGTTAGAAGCTCTCGTCTGCTTTGTGAACCAGGTAACTGTACAATCATCCGATGGTCTCATGGGCTTAATTCAAGAACTTACACAATTACACTTTTAGTTTTTTTTTTCTCCTGATATTTGCTCTTCTCATCGTTTTTATTTTACCTGTGACAAATACTTGACTGACGCATATTAAGATATGTATGAAATTATGAATACGAAAATATGAATGTATGATCCTCCAAATATGGAAAACTTAGAAAAAATACGTATTATCTTAGCCATGTACCCATTTCTGGATCTCATACAGAATTTGGAATACATAGTATTTTACCCATCAATCGGTTCTTATAGTAGGCAATTCAATGGTTTTAAATCATCATGGTCCTATTCCATGTCACCATAACTCGGAATGAGTGTTGGATACAAACATGTATGTTTTCTTAATAGATGCCAAATATAAATACTTTCAAAAAAAATGAAGAGTTTGAATAACAAAAATCTTGTTTACTAGAATCCTGTTGAGGAGAACTTTTTGAATTTGAGTTTACTTGATAATGTTTTATTAATGTCCTAGTAGATATGAGAAACAGGAAATCTGGGTGATGTTTCAAAGTTTCAACTAATATCTGATGTTTTTCTATATGCAGGCTGACCACCTACGGCAAGAAACACTACAGAAGATGTCTAACATCCTAACAACTCGACAGGCAGCTAGAGGCTTACTTGCTTTGGGAGAATACATCCAACATCTTCAAGCTTTGAGTACACTATGGGCTAAACGTCCTCGTGAACCAGCCTAGCCTTACAGCAGAAACTGTTAGATGATCACTGCAAGAACCGCTCAAACGGAGATGGCATTTGGTAAATGCCATTATAAACATAAGTAGCTAATCTTAGATGGATTCCTATAAGTTCTAACATGGAGGCTGACAAGCTAGCTAAACAGGGGATTGGATGATCGGCGAAAGATTATTGTGGTTATGTTTTGTAGTTTTCTTTGAGTTATTTATGGGCTTTATCTTTGTAATGGTTTGCTAGTTCGGTTATAGGTTTCACTAGCTGAGGCTGTTCGGTTTAGCCTAAATTAGTGATGCTGTTTATGGTTGTGTACGGCTGTTTTTGGTGTTCTGTTTTGTTTTGGGATGTTCTAAAGGATGTATCTTATGTAATTTTTGTTGTTGAATGAAACCCTAAGGCACTCTTTTCCTCCTTCCTCTGATTAAGTAGCTCTTTTACAAGCTACATTAATCAAGAAGGGTTTTTTAACGAGGCCTTCAATTCTTATAAAAAAAACATAAGTAGCATAATTTTAAGCAGCCCACAGTTTTTGAAGCAGCTTGTCCTGAGGTCTGAGATGTTGAACATATAAATAGTTAATTTCACATTGGGGAAGGTTGAATTCAAATCGATTTTCAATATGCTTTGTATATCATATAAAATCTTGAAAGTGTATATATATATATAGGTTCTACATTTGAGTCATATAGTATTTGGAATTTCTATGTAAATTCCGTGTAAGTGTTCTTTCTATACTATGAACATGGCCAATGAAAAATTGTCAAAAGTTGACTATGTATTGGAACTTTCATAGTATGTTATTAAAACTTCACCTAGAGTTTGTTTGCAGGTTCACGACCAAGAGCTTTCTAGAACAGTCTCTGGGCATTTATACCCAAATTTGAGTAGTATTGGTTGAGTTTGTGGCATCCGTATAAAGATAGCATAGAGAAGAAGGAAAGGTATTTTTATATGATACAAGTTGGGTACCGCAAACCAATGGCCTCATTTGAGTTCTCTGTCTAAAGTTAATATCACAGATACACAGATTTGTAAACCTATTATGGCATCATTGTAGTAAACAATCATCTATTGGAAGAAACACTGGCTAGGCTAATTCATAACTCAGTGTGTAGTCTATTTAAGGGTTCAAAATCTTCTCATAGTTGCTATACAATCTTAAAGGGTAACTTGTGCACGCTTAACATAACTGATTGGTAAATTATGTTCAGGTTCATTAAGATCATCGAATAACCAGAAAAGACTATACCCCTCCCCCCAAACTTGGGAAATAAAGTAGGGGTAGATAAGGACAATGATCTCATTTTGCTAGAAAGTGACTGTTTAACATGATGATGAAAGGCAGAAGTCAAATACTAAGTTAAACAAAATAAGGTAAGGACAGTAATCTTATTGTGCAAGGTGACCACTTATCATGAGAATACCAAGTATATTTTAAATGCATCATTTATCAATATTTTATTTTGCAACATAACAGATGTTGAATACTCCACTCTTTAAAAGAATCAAAAAAGTTCAGAACCCAAATAAGATTGAAACATTTTAAGGAGAGGAGAAGGTTTACCATTTGTTATGTGCAGCGGAGATCGATTCCGGAAAGACGTTTCCTTGAGTATACTCTTAAATCTAAATAATGAGCCAGACCTCAAAAAAGTAGTGTAGGAATGGATTGTTCTGCCTTCCTTAAAGGCAAGCCAAGTGCAACCGAGCATTTTACATGCCAAAAGGCCGCAATAAGCCCAAAATATTAAACCATGCAATAGTGTATACTCTTGAGCCAAATCTATTAGGTTGGCACTCACTTCACTGGTGAGAGTGTCGCTAGATTTTAACATCAGGATCAACCTCTTTGACAATGTACCATATGTCAGTTGTTTCCAACTGTATCCATTACCAATAGTCACGGCAAGAACAGAAACCATCCTTGAAATGGTGAAAACGAGTAGCATCTCTTACAATAATTTCTCTGCCAGAGAGTTTAGATATAAATTTAATGGCGGAGTGGCAATCATTACAGACTCTGAGGTTTTTCATGATCCTCAAAGTGGTGTTCTCAGGAGTACTTATTAGTGCAAAAGCAATGGCCAATTTCTCACTATGATGCCTGAGCATCTTCTCCTTTACTTCCTCCTCAAGGTCATGTAACACTGATTCAGTATCTGGAACAAAGCCCATCTTTTTTATATCTTCCCATATCTGTGACATCATCTTGTAGATTTCATCTTTCAGTGGGTGAAGTCCATCGTCAGCTCCAAAGACATGGACTTTGTTCTTTATCTGAACCCAACTAATTCCTTGTTCTTTCTTCACCCCTCCATCCTTCATTAACTTGCGGATTTTTGCAGCATCCTCCCACTTTCCACAAACGGAATACAAGTTAGCTAGGGCTGAGTAAGCCCCACTGTTGCCAGGGTCAATAAGGAGCAATCTTTCTGCTGCAACCTTACCTAGTTCTACATTTTTATACACCTTACAAGAAGATAAGAGTGAACCCCAAGTTATAACATCTGGTTCAATCGGCATTTTTTCAATAAAATCATATGCCTCTTGTACCAATCCAGCTCGTCCAAGAAGGTCAACCATCAATGCATAATGGCTCAGTGTTGGTTCAATTTTGTGAAAATCCTTCATCATATTATAATACCTCCAGCCCTGGCCTACCAGTCCCACGTGTGTACAAGCAGAGAGCACACACCTACATATGTTATATGGTCAGGCTTAATTCCAGCTGCCAGCAACTTTTCAAAGTGCTCAAGGGCTTCTTCTCCAAGACCATGTTGAGCAAGAGCCATTATCATGGATGTCCAAGACACAATATCTTTGAACCAATGTATCAGATTAAACACTTTCCGTGCACAATTAACACTTCCAGCTCTAGCATACATGGTAATTAGAGCATTGTTCACAGAAACTGAAGATGCCTGGCCAGTTCTTATTGCACTTGCATGAATTTGTTTGCCATTGTTCAACAAAGTCAAGCTTGAACTGACACTCAGCATGGCTGCCAGAGTGAAGTTATTTGGTTTAGGACCCTCTCTAACCATTAATCTGAAAAGCTCCAATGCATCATTATTCAAACCATTCTGCAAGTATCCAACAATCATGGCAGTCCATGCAACCACATCCCCGTATCTCAATGAGTCAAATATATGTCTAGCCGGTTTTAAATCTCCAAGCTTAACATATCCATCCAGCAAAGATGTAAATGCAATAACATCAAGGCGTGAAACCCCACTCTGCTCTACAATCTTGCGAGCAAATTGAACCCCACCTGACTTTGCATACATTGAGATCAAGGCATTTCCTACTGGCCCATACGTATCAAAGTCGGTGCTAACAATACGAGCATGGATTTGTTTACCAAGTTTCAACATTTCAAGATTGGCACAAGCCGATAGTGCATTAATATAAGTGAATTTATCAGGAAGCAACAAAGAATCCTTCAGCATGTTACCAAAAGCACAAAGAGCATCAAGGTCATACCCATGTTGATTGTACCCTGCAATCATTGAATTCCACGTCACTATATCTCTCTCACTCATCCTTTCAAATTGTTCACGTGCAAAATCAACTCGTCCATGCTGCATATGCAAGGAAATCATAACATTCCAACTCGATGTGTTCCTATATTCCATCCTATCAAAGATAACTCTTGTCATCATTGGATCACCAGACTTAGCATACATGTTTAACAAAGAATTCACTACACTATCATAACTACTAAGCCCAAATTTAACAGCAAAAGAGTGTACCTTTCGACCAATATCTAAAGCTCCAATAGCAGCACATGATGCAAGAGCACTAGTAACTGTGTACTGCGTTGGTGTTACTGGTTCTTTAATCATTTTATCGAACACTTTTATAGCACTTTCAAAACTACCCATCTGATTATACCCCGTAATAATCGTGCTCCAAGAAACAGAATCAGGATTCGGTATCTTATGAAAGATTTCAGTAGCTTCAGCCATTTTACCCCGTCTGGAATAAGCTGATAAAAGGGTGTTCCAAGTGAAATTAGTTTTCACAGGCATTTCGTCAAACAATAAGCGGGCATCGGAAAAGCACACGGTTTTGGAATAAAAGTTCATGAGATTGTTCAATAAGATGACACTAAAGTGAAGCCCGGATTTGATAATTCGGGCATGGATTTGATTTTCCGGCTAGGAGATCATTGGATTTGAGGCATTCTTGGAGGAGACAAGCGTTGTAATATGACAAAGAGGATGGGTCTGGGTTTCTCATTTGTTGGTTATTGGATTTGGAGAGGGTCTTGGGTTCTCATTTGTTTATTGGATTTGGAGAACATATTAGAACTAAGAATTAAGAATAATTTCAAGCTTTTCGATTTGATTTTCCTGTTGAAAACAGAAACAAAAAAATTGGACACGCTTCTTGAGTCGCGATTTTGAACAATACGTGAATCGAACACGCAACCTTTTGATCTGAAGTCCGACGCCCTACCATTTCGCCACGGATATGCTAAGATATAAAATATATAATATATTTAAAAATCGTGTTCATATTATATATATTAAAAGAATGTCATCTGTGACAGCGAAGTCACTAGAATGCTGCAATGTAGCACCTGCATTTGTTAAAAACTGATTCACTTGCTATCGCATTCACCTTTGAAAGAATAAAAACACATGCATTCCATATTCCAATAGATATCAATTTTGTAATTTAATTTCTTTTTATAAAAACTTTTTGAATAATTTTAATAATTATAATGTTATTTTTCTATACGATTTGAGTTGAAACGGAGGAATTTATATGTGCACGTAAGTTTATATTTAAGATTTTTTTACAAAAAATCTTAATAAAAAAATAAAATTATAAGATATTTTATAATTAAAATGATTCATTATATTTTGTAAAATGTTTTACTTAAGTGTTTTCATTTTCAACTTAAGCTGTGGCATTTTTATTTTTTTAGGTTTGTAGTTTGTTACTTGATAATCATTGTTGATTTTAAGTTGTTTAGAGAAATATTAAAATAAATTTTGACTGAAGAATAAGAGAAGAAATAATATTTTGGGGTCTAACGGTCGTCGACAATGATCGATGATAGTAATCAACGACAATAATGAATATCAACCAATGACATGAACTTTGACTAGATTTAAGGGTCAAATTGATATTTTATATAAATTTTTTAGATTAAATTAGTATTTTATGTAAAGTTTAATGTCTAATTAGTATTTTGTCTAAAATTCATAATCAATTTAAAATTTAACTAATTTTCTTAATGTGTCATGTCAATAAAGTAACGAAAGTTAATGGTACAGTGATCAAAATAATCGGATTAAAAACAAAAATACTCAAAATCAAACTTTTTTAAAATTTGATGACCAAAATTAAACAGACAAAAAAAAAAGCAAGGAACCACCCACCAACATTATTTATCGGCCAATAATACATTCTTTTAATTATTAAACAGGAGATTACAAAATATTTAGCAGAGTTTGAAACATTCTGCGTAGGATACAAAAGCGAGTCATCCTCGCGTAGGGTCTTAGTAACAGCAGCATGTGGAGAGTGGAATGCCCGATATACCAATGGTCGCTTCCATGCTAATTTTGCCAAACTATTAGCCATTCTATTACATTCATGAGAGGTATAACGAAAATCAAGGTTCCAATTAGGATCTACTAAATCAATTAAGTGTGTGAAAAGTGACAATCTTTTGTACAATCGATTCCTTCTTGAGCATAACGATGGCTCTTTGCTACTTGTCTCGACAATAATATTCTATAAATTCATGTCCCAAGTCATTCTAAGATCCTCGTAAATGCTCTAAAATTCATTTCAAGAATCGAACTCACCCGAGCTATTTCAGAGAAGGTCTCCACAAGTAGTCAGGCCGGAATTACCTCTCCTTGCACCATTTGTATTCAACTTTACCCAATTTACAACTCCCAATCCGAACAGCTTTTCGCTTCAAATCGACCAATTCACGCTAGGTTCCAATGCACGAACCGCCTCTGCAACTAACCTTATGCTTGTTTGTAAAACATTATCCGAGAACATGGATTCCAATGCACGGCCGGACGGCGGCTTGTGAAGGAGAGGGCGGTCGACCCATGGCCGACCAAAGAAATTTGAGACACTTTTTTTTCCTGATTTGTGTGAAAATGAAACAAAAAAACAAAGGATTGGTATATAGGTAAAGTTAATGGTATAATTTCATCTTAAATACCTCCACTTTAGCTGTGTTTTACATTTTGGTCCCTGTAGGACCAAAATTGGTATTGCACCTATTTGTTATGCATGTTTTAATTATTTGGTAAAATCACTATTTCAGTCCCAATAACTTAGCCATGTTTTTACATTTTAGTCACTAATTCTTTCATTTTTATTTATAGCTGTGTTTATTTTGGTCCCTGTAGGACCAAAATTGGTATTGCACCTATTTGTTATGCATGTTTTAATTATTTGGTAAAATCACTATTTCAGTCCCAATAACTTAGCCATGTTTTTACATTTTAGTCACTAATTCTTTCATTTTTTATTTATTTTTATTTTATTACGCAATTTTATTTATTTCAATTTAGTCCTTATTAGATCTTAATTTAGCAATTGAATTTTAATTTCTTACATTTCGATCCATGTTTATTTTTATTTAGTTACTATCTTTTATTTTATTGCATTTTAATCCACATAATTAGATTTTATTACAATTTAGGCCCTTGTATTTATTTTAAATTCATTTTTGAGGATCTTATTTGTTTATATTTATTTATTAGGTCCTTTTAGTTTCTATTAATACTATTTTAATCCTTTAATTTTTTGTTTGTGCTATTTTAGTACTTTAATTTTTTTCTTTTGCTATTTAATCCCTTTCTGTTTTTTCTCTTGCAGCTCATTCCTAGAATTAATTTGATTCGTGAATTTTAATTATTCCAATTTAATTTTTTATTTGAATTTTCTTTCTTTCATTCCTTTTATTTATTTATTTACTTTTTTATTTTGATCTTAATACTAACTCCTTGTTTTTGTTTGTTTTATTTTTTTAACTTTATTTATGGTTTTTAGGATAATTTTAATTGATCAAAAGGTAAATAATTATGATCGAATTTTTAAATTTTAATTTTAATTTTCACAATTAAGACAACCGATAAATTAAATGGTAACGCGCAGTTCAAGGGTGCTAATCCTTCATTAACTGTAACCGACTCCCGAGCCCAACATATTTCTGGTAAAACGTAGATCAGGTAAGATGGTATCTGATCAACCTAAATATTTCTTAAATGATTGGTGGCGACTCTAATATTTACTTTAAGTCGAAACCAAAAATTCCGAGCCCACTCGAAAGACGGTAGCGACAGCTTGGCGACTCTGCTGGGGACAGGTAAGTGAGTCATGCCAGAATTAATTTCGGTTGTCGTTTTGAGTGAAAATTATAAGTTTAAAGTGTAATTTATTTATTCGATTCTAATTATTTATCTTTGATTATTTTTCAAATAAATATTTGTACAGAAGTTTTTTCAATGATTTCAGATTTTCAAAATTTTCATCTCAGGCTCTATACCCGAGATCCAAACCCTTTTAAGTGGGGGCGAAAGCGACACCTTCGTGAGAATTTATTCTCCGTATGTGTAACATCCTCAATACTGGGTTAGTGATCAAATTGTAAAGTTTTAGAATTTGGCGACTAGAGTAGAACCATGGATTAGTTCAATGATTTATTTGGAAATAAATCATAAAATTTGTTAGTAATTATTAGATGAATTGAAGGGCAAAAGGGTCATTTGACAAGGAAGATTTTTTTTATAAGATAAGGAACCACGTGGGAAGAGAGAAAGGTTCCAGAGTTCTCTTCTCTTTTTCCTTCTTTATACGCGAAGGCTTGACTCAAAAGTGAGTTTCTTTGTTTGTTGATTAATTATTGATTTTAAGGTTGGGTTATGATCATTAGATGATAATTAAGCTTAAGGAAAGCTTAATTTGTTCTAAAACAACAAGATGAAAGATATAGAAGAGATTAAAGAAAATGAGTTTTTAGATGAATTTCTGGAAAGGAGTTAATAAGTGAAATTTGAGAAGGAATTTGACTTGTCATCACTAAGAATAAGAGATATATGAAGTTAGAAAGGATTAATAACAAAGTTGAAAGTTTAACAAGATTCTTAAATTTTAAGAATCATGATGAGATATGGAAGATAAAGATGGTTTATATGGATATAAGTTGGTTTAAGTAATGGTAATTAAGTTTAATGAAATTATAGGGGCTTAAAATAGAAGAATTGAGTGAAAAGTTTATGGTTTTCGAGCTTAAAATGCAAATTTTGGGCAAGGTGTATCGATGCACATTTCAATGTGCATCGATGCACTCTTTAAAGAAGAAACATCGAATGAAATTGGTGCATCGATGCATAAGGAGTGCATCGATGCATCCCCTTAAAATGAAAACATCGAAGGTAATTTGTGTATCAATGCATGGGCAGTGCATCGATGCACATGTTAAAGAATGCATCGATGCACTGTAGAATGCATCGATACACTTCAAGAGGAAATTGAAATAGACATTTCTTTTGGTCTAAGAAATGATATATTAGAATATATCAATTAGATACTAATATGTATCAATGTATGATTATATAGATATCACGAACAAGTTCCGGAACGATTATCAAGTCAAGATTCGATCGAAAGAAAGTAAATCATAAAAGTGGATTGGAACTTAGTGAGGATCAGATGATGCATATGATATAGTATATGATTATATGGAAATTTGACTGTGATGAGTCTATTTCCATGTTCTGATTTATGAATGCATGAAAATAAGTATAGTGGTAGCCGTTAGTATGTGAATATGTATTGTTATGTTATGTTCTTTTCTATGATATGATTTATGTGATGATGTGACTTTGTGATATAAGTTATATGATCATAAACTATGTAAATAATAATGACTTATGTAATGACAAGAGAAAGTGATATAAGCTATATAGTATAGATATAAATGATTATATGAACATGTAATATAAGTTATGTGATATGAGGATTATGTCTATGAGAAGTGATGTGATGAATATATGAGCTATGTGATCCTATGAGAATATGAAAAGAGATATGTGAACATGTGAATTATATGAAAAGTGATGAATTACATGAAAGAAGCTATGAGCTTATATGAACATGTGATATAAAAGTGTATATGTGAAATTATATAAGTGAAAATGCCCATGTTATGTGTATTGAGAGCTAGAAGTATAGGCATGCCAAGAGTCGAGGGTCTACGCGGTCCTTCGGGACATAGTGGTCCATCGGGACATAGTGATCATTTGGGACATATGTGTTATATGTAGTCCTTTGG